CCCCCCCCCCCCCCCCCCCAAACAACCCTCTCCCTGAATTTTTTTTAAAAACCCGAACAAAAACACCATACATCACTTTCTCTATTCCATCTTGTTGCAGGATCTGAACATCATCAACATGTTGGTCCTCAACACGACCATCTCCGAGTGGAATCTTCAAGGTCTACCGAATGACGAGCTGTCCATCCAGAACGGCCTGATTGTGACCAAGGCCTCTCGTTTCCCGCTGCTCATCGACCCACAGGGACAGGGCAAAGCCTGGATCAGGAACAGAGAGGGACAGAATGAACTGCAGGTTAGGAACTTCTTCAATCAAACTGAAAAATCAATCAAATATTCATGAAATCAATTAGTAAGTCGAATAACCGAGGAATCATTGATCCAATCAGTCAGCAAACTGGCGATCAGCCGACCGACCAACGGTTAATAAAAACCAAACAACCAAACAACCAGCTAATCAACTAAGCATAACTAAGCAACCAGTCTCAACGAACTTACCGACCAGTCAATCAATCGTCGATCAGTCATTCAATCTAATCATCCACATTTCAGTTGATCCGACTCTCAAGCAGCAATTAAGATACCAGGCACACCACTAGCTCAGTAACATGCAGCGGATGAGTTTAAAAAAATTGAGTCTCACGGTCTGTCTATTGAGATGTTTTGATACTTTGAACCGAGGTTGACCCTGACAAACATGGTCGAAGCAGCCTGCCTCCTAAATCATCTAAATTTTGTAAATGGGAACTTAAACATTAACAAACCATCCTTTTCTCCCTCCCCTCTCTCTCCTTCTCCCCCCCCCCCACACTCTCTGTTATATCTTTGTGTGTAGATTGCTTGTTCTTTTTCCCAGATGCTAATGACGTACTTTGCTTTACTCAAACAAGAAGAAAACTTGCTCTTTTCGTCTGAGCTATGTTAACTTCCCCAAACCATCAGAGTCAGTAACTTGACATTTCCTGTCTTCCCACTTGTGCAGATCACATCCCTGAACCAGAAGTACTTCCGTACCCACCTGGAGGACGCTCTATCCCTGGGACGACCTCTGCTCATCGAGGACGTGGGAGAAGACCTTGACCCAGCACTGGACAATGTGTTGGAGAAGAATTTCATCAAGTCTGGCTCCACATTCAAGGTAAGAAAAGGACTTCAGGCAAAATGAAGTGGAACGAGACTAGATTGAATATTATGATAAAGTGAAATAGCGTGATCAGTAAACTGAGATAAGATAGATAATGGTTTGACTAAACGATAATATAGAACAAGCTGAAAGCGTGTCGAAGAAGACATTCATAATGTTGTTCATGGCAAAAAGATGAGATGAAAAGACATGAGGAAGAATTAGGAAAGAACGACAAGGTAAGGTCAGATGAAAGAAACAACAACAAACAAAAAAACAAAACAAAATTGAAACGCTTGGTTCGGTGTGGTAAGTGGAAGAACTTAGAATAGACAGAACGAAAGATGACAGAATGACACCCACCAAAGTACAACAGCACGTTTATTGATGTTAGTTGCGAAACTGAATTACAAAGGCATACATTCATACAGGCAAAACGCCAAGATACATGCAAAGTAAGCGCACACTTAATAAAAAAGCATACTAAGAATATTAATTTTTATTCCCACCCCCCAACCCAAATGCACAATGTCACACCAATACAGATATTTTTTTACAAACATCAAATGCTGATCACCGTTTTGCAAAGGTCTGCTTTTGAGCCAGGGTTATCGTGTCTTTCTCGAGGACACACCCCGTTGTTCACTCATGTAAATGCCGTGTTACAGACTTGTACGTGACATTATTGTGAACCTGAACTCGCCACTGGTACCTCCAGATCGGTACAACGTGCCACTATTTTTTAACGTGATTGATAGTGTGTCCGTCCTGCCCCCCCTCCCCCTTTCCCTTTCATTTCTACATGGAACAAGGTATGAGTTGGGGGAGGGTCCGAGTTTTGTTTGAAAGTTATGCAAAATACCAACACTCTATATTGATTCAATTTTACTTACTGTCTTCAGGTGAAAGTGGGCGACAAAGAGGTGGACGTGATGAAAGGCTTCCGAGTCTACATCACAACCAAGCTGGGCAACCCTGCGTACACCCCTGAGATCTCTGCCCGTACCTCCATCATCGACTTCACCGTCACCATGAAAGGTCTGGAGGATCAGCTGCTGGGTATTGTCATCTTGACCGAGAAACAGGTACACCGATTGTATAATTGTGAAGACGACAAGGGGGTGGAGGTATCACTAGTCATCTGGAAAATATTGAGGGCTTTTGCATTGTTTTAAGTGTGGTTGACGGGTGCTCTAGTGTCTTTTATATATCGTCCCTGTCTCTCCACATTCTTTTTTGTATTTGTTACTCTCTTGTAACACCTTTGGCACATATTTGACCTTATTGTGGTGCAAGTGCCATAAAACTCTTACTGAAACTAAAGTACATAATTATTATCTACTGCCGTTCTTTCCATGTACAACTGTTTTAAATGCAACTCTCATCACTTATTCACCTCTTTCAGCCTGGTATTGGCTTAGGCCGCCTAGAAGAGTTCTCCACCTGTCACTGTTGTAGGCGTCTTCTCCACCTAAGGCCAACTGTGTCCGATATTCTTGAGATCTGCCTCTAGATCCAGGGGGATTTCGGCCTTCCTCTCATTCTCTTTCCCGCGGGGTTACATCTAAGGTTTTTCAAGTTAATTTGTATGCTGGCTTCCGTTTCTAATAAGAATGATATAGATATAAAATACGTAACAAGCTAAACAATAGATCAAAACAAATTCATCAATTTTTAACGTCGATTAATGCCATTTTCCTCTTGCACTTATATGTTCACGCCCCATCGACACAATTGAGGTATTAGGAGGCTTTTCAACCTTGGTTGTTAGACTACTGCTACTACTACAGCTACTACTACTACTACTACTACTACTACTACTACTACTACTGCTGCTGCTGCTGCTACTGCTGCTGCTGCTGCTGCTGCTGCTAAAAGGATAATCCAAAACAAATAGTCTCAATGTCAACTCTGTAAATGGAATTTTTTTTTTCGTCAACAGGAGCTGGAAGCCGAGCGGACAAACCTCTTGGAGGAAGTAACCAGCAACAAAAGGAAGATGAAGGAACTTGAGGATAACCTGCTGTACAGACTGACTTCCACACAGGTAGACACACATATGTTTGGTCATTCTTTCTCTCATAACTGTTACAGCTTTAATGATTTTATTGCAACTGCCACTGCTTCGAGCCATTCTTGTAATCTGTTTTTTTCTTGTAATTTGTTCTTTCTTTCTTTCTTTCTGTTAGGTTGTAGTTGATTTATTGCATTTTTGAGACACGTTTTCAGCTTACTCATTTCCCCAGTGGCCATAGAATACCCTCAACGTGGCAAACTCGGAGCGTTCAACACTACACAACATTCATTTCACGAAATAGGTGAATGAGAATAAAAAAACAATAACTACTACTACTGCTGTTTCTGCTATCATTGCAACTGTATCAATTGTCTTTCGTTCACGATGATGAATGTTGTCTGTCCACTAGGGGTCTCTGGTGGAGGATGAGTCTCTGATCGAAGTGCTCAAAGTGACCAAGACTACAGCTGAGGAGGTCAGTGAGAAACTGACCATCGCTGCAGAAACCGAAATTAAAATCAACACTGCCAGAGAAGAGTTCCGACCAGGTGGGTCTTATATTTTCTTTATGTGAATGTTCTCCTCCTTTACTGCAGTGAGTGTTTTGGGGGGGGGGGGGGGGGTGGACAAGAGGGGAAAAAAGGAGGGGAGGGGAGAGGAATGAAAGATTTTATGGAATTATTTTATCATCTGTAGCCGGTGAGTTTCCCATGGGTTTCATTCAGAACGCGAATTGTCTCTATATACGAGCATTTGAAGTTCCCTTGCTGGGGAAATAAAAGATTTCATGCAATTATCTCATCACCTCTTACCGATTCAGTTCCTAGGGGTTTCAGTCTGCACTCGTCAATTCTCTTGGTAGCTGAGATTCCCTTGGTCAAGTCATTCGTTTGTATCCACAGTGGCTTCCAGAGGCAGCATCATCTACTTTGTTATCGTGGAGATGAGCATGGTAAACGTCATGTACCAGACGTCACTCAAGCAGTTCTTGGAACTCTTTGACCTCTCCATGGCGCGTTCCCAGAAATCCCCGATCACCAGTAAGAGGATCAACAACATCATTGACTATCTCACACTCTCCGTGTTCAAATACACGTGTAGAGGTCTCTACGAGACGGACAAGTTCTTGTTCACCATTTTGCTGACGTTGAAGATCGAGATGGCTGCAGGACGAGTGAGAGGAGAGGAGTTCAGCGTCTTCATCAAGGGTAGGTCTTTCTCTGTGTCTTTGTAAATACAATCGAACCTGCTCTAACGGGCACCTGTATAAGACAATCACCTGTACAAACGGCCACTTCCCATTTCCTTCCTTGTGTTTTTAAGCATTATAGTGGCACTATGTCAGACGTCCACCTGTCTAAGACTGCCACTTTCTTCCTCGACAATGGTTAGCCGTCTTAGATACATTTGTGTGTATTTTACGGCCTCACGGACATAGATCACATATATGGTATACTATTTCTTTGACGTTGCCTCTCAGGGAAGACCTAAGCCCAGTGGGATTAAAGCATCTTAGCAGAGGCATGGAAGTTGCTCGGTAATAGAAACAACCCCATCCAAAATTGAACTGGCGTCTTTTGAATGTTACAGTAAAGAGCCCCCCTATCACATCCCAAAGACCCTTAGTCTAGTCTTGCCTTTTGTTGATTTGTTAAGAGCCCTTAAGTGTTACGATACTTCAGAGAAATAGGGAAGCTGATAAAATTGTGTGATTCCGTCGCCGCATTTGCTGCTTTGTGATCTTTCAAAAACTTTGCATTTTCAGGCGGTGCTGCGCTGGATCTGAATGCTGTGGAGCCCAAACCTAAGAGATGGATCATGGACATGACGTGGCTGAATCTTGTGGAGTTGGGCAAACTGCCGCAGTTCTCACAGATTCTCTCACAAGTCGGCCGTAATGACAAGGTGATACACGAAATCAACCTGTCTTATTTGAACACATATCGAACGGGGTCGCTTCAAATAAGCAAAGAGTAATAAAATATTACCAAAACTCTTTTTAAATTAAGGATTCTCTTTTAGGGTTTCAAACCAGGGTCACTCACAACATGCTAACTGAGAAACCGGGGAGGTGATGCCCTTTCAAAGGCTTCATAAACAAGAACTATTTCTTTTTATGTATGAGTGCTGTTCTTTTCAAAGCCTTTTGTTATTCAAATTTCTCAAAAGCTTTACTAATATATTGTGTTAAGTTAAACAAAAAGCTACAGCTACCCAATACATCTGTCACTTACCAACCAGCTGATCTTATTCTTGCCAACAGGCATGGAAGGCCTGGTTCGACGAGGATGCCCCAGAAGAAGTGACCATCCCAGACGGTTACACCAACAGTCTAGACAACTTCCGGAAACTTCTGCTTATCCGCTCCTGGTGTCCGGATAGGACCATCCCCATGGCCCGTGTCTACGTGGCTGAAGCTATGGGACCCGAGGTGAGAAAAGTGGTTTATTCTGCATTCAGGCAGTTTGTTTCTCAAAACTAAAAATCTGTACTTTCTTTCCGAATGTTTTTTCCTTCGTTTGTCAAAAGATGTGGTTCAAAGGTGTAAATTAATCGGATAGGTGGCGATAAGATATAAGTTCACAAACTGTGTTCAAATCCCTAACACATACTCACAAGTGAACTTAGGTTGAAATTGTATTCTTCCAAAAATAATGTTGTTAAAAAAAGAATTTGAGAGAAAAAAGTTAGGGATTTGAACACAGTTTGTCACTAGAGACAGATATTGATCAGGAGGTGCAGTGGTTGCAAGACAAGGCAGTTTAGGCTAAATACAGTTATAGGAAACGACTTAAAAATGAAAAACTGTACAAAAGGGGAGACCCTTTCAGCAAGTTCCAAAATTCATTCCATTGTAAATCAGTGGGATTTTAAAATCTTTTTAGAGTGGGAGGGGGCCGAATTCTTACGACATATTCATGGGATGTTACTAATAGATCCTACGTTTCTCCTTTCTATTTAGATATCATTTCTGACTATCAATCCCTATATGGTGTCGATGTACTTTTCTTCAGTGAAAGTAAAACGACATGTTCTCCAGACTTGTTCTAACCCCTTTGTCATACCCTCTCTTACAGTTCGCAGAGGGCGTGATTCTCAACTTGGAAGCTATGTGGGAGGAGTCCAACAACCGCAATCCCATGATCTGCTTCCTGTCCATGGGATCTGACCCCACAGAGAACATTGAGCGTCTAGCGAAACAGAAGGGCTTCAGTGAGTAGATGCACAGTCGTTAGAGCACCCTTGTCCTTCGATTGAAAGCGATGAGAGGCTGTGTGTATATGGAGGTGTTTCTACATGTATGAGTGTGTGTACTTGTGTGTATGTGTGAGTTTATTGGTGTATATCTGTGTTTGTGTGAGTGTGTGTATGTCTCTGTGTGTTTGTGTATGTGTGCATGCGTGTGCGTGTGTGCATCAAGAGAGAGTATTAATCTTAAGTGTGAGTTTATGAGTGTGAGTGTGTGTGTGTGTGTGTGTGTGTGTGTGTGTGTGTGTGTGTGTGTGTGT